AGGGGACTCCCAGCTGTAGTGCCACAGGCGCTCTATGTCTGAACCTTTAACTCACAGTCATGTTGAGCTCCTGCAGCAAAGTGGACGTAGCCCAACAGGCACAGAAGACACCTACGAGCTGAGGCCTTGCTCTCACAGCACCAGCATGGCATCGAGTAGCACAGGTGCAAATACAGGCCAAACCCCTACACAGAAATGTCCTTTTTGTGTGCTAATGATACTATGGGACAAGTAGCAACATCAGCCTTATAGTTTGGGAAAGAGTGGTTTGTATGTAAAGATTACTTTTAAAATGAAAAAGCAGAGTTGTTCCACAAAAGGAATTCTAGAATAAACACCACTCAGGCTAGGAGCATCCCTCAAACACGCATGCTAGACTTTTTTTTTTTTTAAACTTTTGTAAAACATTATTTAAGCCCTTTATTTCATTATTTCATTCCAGAAAGCACTTCCAGAACCTGTAGGCTTATACAGCTTCTGATTTTCCTGCTGCAATAAATGCAAAAGGAAAAATGGGAGCAGCTTTTCCAGACTAACAGAACAAAATAGCAACTATGTAAACTCACACCACATGTCTATCTGCTTACTGGATGTAAATGTAGTTCAGTAAGTCTTAACAACTATCATGCTAGTGGCAGGAACCTTAATGCAATCTTAAATTAATCCTGTAACAGCTCATGAGAATAATCTCACACTTAAGGAGCAAAAAGCTCTTTAAGTGACCACTCTCACTGTTCAACCTCCAGAGATCCAGATTTAATATGGGATGGCATTCATTAACTGCAAGTAATCTGAATGACCGAATATGACAAGTGCAAGAAAAGAGTCTTCTCCTGGCAGCAGAACAGAAATGGACAGGGAACAACGCCTGTAGAGCTCACAAGCAGAGAGTATGTACAAGGACCAGGACTTCACAACACTTGCATCAGGTTCTAAAGTAATTTTAAAACTAATACTTTATGCCTTAACGTGTCATTCACAAAGACCAGAGCTCCTACCGGTAGGGAAGGCTGATCCTCTGTTTTGTATTTTGTAGGTACAGATCAAGTAGGTCTTTCCAAGATTTTATTTTTTAAAAAGTCTAGTGAATTGAAACTGCCAAAATTGCCACCTTTCCAGCAGCTTGCTTTCCAACAGGCTTAACATTTTGTTATGCAAAGAATCAACTTGTAGCAAGAGATCAGTGGCTTGGTCTAAAGCTTTCAATGCTCAAAGATTAGTTCCAGTGTGAGTAACCATTTTTCTAAGAAAAACACCTAGTAATCCCAGTGTGTTTCTAGCACCTGATGAACCACATAACACAGCAATTTTAGTGTAATGAAATAGCTTTTGAAAAGCAATTTATGCTTTGTTTGAGACAGATGTGACAAAGGACATCAACTGCAAACTGGCTACAGGCTTATTACATTTGGGCAATGCTTGTGCAAGCAGTTCTTCCCTCTTACCCTATTTTGGTAACAACTGCACAGCTGAAAGCTTGAAAAGTGAAGGGAAATTATACAGCCATGTACAGGCTATGACATCTAAGAAGTTTCTCCTTGGCAGCTGGGAAGCACCTGACACAACCTTCTTCCCTTGACATTTAATTTAGATGCAAGAGATTTAATGGGCCTCTGTCTACTTCATTTTGCTGCCTCCACATTTATCCCTGTTCCGTTCACACTTGCCAAGTTCACATGGCAAAGGCCTCTGTCTACTTCATTTTGCTGCCTCCACTGTTCCGTTCACACTTGCCAAGTTCACATGACAATTCCTGAAGCAACAGCTGGTAAAACTCCCATATTCAGGTAAGACTGAGTGTATTTCAGTTCTTAGTATTAGAATATCCAAAGGAGCCACAGAAGTAGCTGACAGCAGGCAGTAGCCAGAATTCTTGTGTTATACAAGAGTCCTTTCTGCATTAACAGCTCCGCTGAACAAACTAATTAAGTTTACACAGTCACAAACTGTCCTTTGTAAGAGGCAGTAGCCAGAATTCTTGTGTTATACAAGTGTCCTTTCTGTATTTACAAACAGCTCCACTGAACAAACTAATTAGGTTTACACAGTCACAAACTGTCCTTCGTAAACATTACTTTTGTGAGATAAAAACCTACACTTTGAAGTTAAGAAAGCCTACCAAAAAACCACTAAGCTGATATAAAGAGAGCCTGAAACCAAAAGCTAGATACTGTGAACTGCTTCCATTCACTTCTGAAGGGCATTTTGATGAAGAATATTCTGAAATTTAACTAGAAGCTCCATTGAGAAACAGGGGGTCAACTTCAAGTTTGATCTTTTCCCTCAAAAATCATCCTGTTGAAGCAGAGAAAGAGACACCTTAGATGCTAAATGATTTAAGAACAAACTCTCATACGCTCCCCGAGATTCTCATGCTCTGAAGCCTGTTGTTCCCTCCCCTTTATCTTTTTTCCACAACTTACACAACGCAGATGGCTAGCATAACATTTGTTAGCTGGGTAGAACAGACCGCATTTAACAAAATTAGTATTGTACAACTATGTTCTCCCAAGAAAGCGGAGTGCTGTAACTCTGGGATCGCTGTCACGAAGAACAAATGAGTAGTCTGTGCATTTTACGTATCCCATACAAAAATAAGCGATGAAACTGAACAGGTTGTTCCCTGCAATACAGAGAACTGAAGTTAAGGATTGTACCATTGCTGACACTTAAAAAGCCATGTACACAGCTGCTCAGACCAACATCTTGAGGCTTCTTTTAACAGACACCAGAATCAAGAAAAACAAAATTCCTAATGCAAGAACTATTAAGTTAGTTGCTTTCCTCACTGCCGTGAGATTATGTCCAAAATGACAAATTAAGAAACAAAGGGATTGCACTTAAGCGGCAAAATACAAACTTGTGAAACCTGGATGTTCAAGACACTACAAAACCTCTCTCAAGCTGCACGTGCACACTTGGTATTACGTCTTACTAGCCATTCAAAGAAAGGGCACTTAAAGCTGGGAAATTTTACGTACTATTAGCAGGTATGGTGTTACTAAATATTCTAGAAAGTCCTCGCATTCTGTTGAGCAGCATTTACAGGATATTTTGTAAATTAAGGCATTTATTAATGTGAGCTTTCAGGTGGTGTTTGTCTAGGGCACTCCAGCGTAACCCGTAGGACCTTACGACTAAACTAAAAATATCCATGTGCCAATACACCACTATGCTAATAATTCAGTTTTTTCTTACAGCTACTTTTCAAAATAAACATACTGCCCGCATTTTTCTTTGCTCTTTGTTAATCTTAACTCCATTTTACAGTCTGTACGTTTTCAGTGTTTGCAATGGCTGACACTGCCAAGATATAAGACACTAAAATTCAATTCAAAGGATTTCCATAAATAAAGCCAGTCATCTTTCACCTAATTTATTTTAAGTTCCAATTTTTTCCAATTCCAAACAAAAGCTAAATACAAGTTTTAAACAGGTAAGCACTAGTTTTATCCAAAGGGAGCAGGCTTATGCAGTTTTACTCCAGTAAAGCACTCAACCCTTAAGCAGAGCCTTCTTTGTCATCAAAACTATACAGTAGTCTTCCTTTTATCATTGCACAATCTTAAAATGTTCTGTCGGAACCAACTTTTGACACTCCAAACACTATTTTACATTGTTTTATAATGTCTATTACAAAAGAAAAAAACCTCAATGGGTTTTCCATAAGAAATGTTTTAGAAGCCAGTATTTCCTGCACAGTTCACCTGCAAGTTTACAAGTATCAACTCTCAAGAAAAAAATAATCCTCCACCAACATTGTTTTTGCAGCTATTATTTTACTTTATTTTTAGCTGCTTTAGCAACTTCAGACTCCAGGTCTGCCTCATCTGTATAAATGCATCCAACTCAAAAGAATACTTTCATACAGTTATACAGCAACTTGGGGAAAGAGATCCAAAACAGAAGTGCCAGTAAACTCAGACATGGCCCAGCAAAATAAAAGAGGCAAAAAATGCCTGCACACTGAATGAGATGCTTTTTAAAGAAAGATTTCTTTCCTGCATTTACTTCCTATTGTAATAGCCACTCATCTGTTCATCAAAATGAATTACAGTGCTCTTGATACAATCATCAACAGCAAAGCTATAGAGCTTTGATACCCATTACATTCACTTCTCTACCTCCAAATACCGATGGTTAACGTTACAGATGCTCGGGGGCATGACCAGCACAAACAGGAACACCACCACAGATGATCACCTTGTGCTTTCAGATACTTTTGTTTCAGTGTACAGTCCCTTCATTTCACATTTTAGTAAATGCTGATGCAGTGCAGATGTGTGCAGAGCATCCTCTCTTTCACAAGGTCCATGCAGAAAACATCTAAAAAAATGGTAAAGTTCTGAGATACAAATGATAAAAAAAAATCCAGGATGATCAAGTTTCACAATGTACAGTGTTCTGAACATGAGTCCATTTTCTTCTAAATTCTGAAAGAATAAAGTGGTGAGGAAAGTGAAAATCCACTGCTGCATTCTGTGATCTTCCCCATTTTGCTGGCCAGTACCTTACTCTGGCATGTAAGGACAGAGGTGATCCTCTATGGTACCAACCGTCCAGTGAGTGAGCTGCTCCTGTGGCAGGTACAGGCAGATGCTGCATAACTTGAAGATTGTAGCTTTGTTTTTTGGAGTCTAGAGGCAAAGAAAACCCAAAAAAAGCTATTAAACATGAAAGTTAACTGAAGACTAATAGGAAGAGCCCCAGCAGGTCCAGCCAAAGTATTAGGTTGCTGCTGGTTGTGGAGTAACACCACAGACATTTAAAAGCCACTATTTCATCCATATACACAGCCTGAACTCAAAACTGGTCTTCCACCTCTAATGCCCAAAATATTTTTATTATTCTACTCATTCTTCACTTGAATAATTTTTGTAGCACCATCTGAAGTAAGCCTGTGTTTTAATTTTTTCAAAACACCATTAGGTCTGTTTTAGAACATATTCAATTTTTAATACAAGAACATTAAATTAATTCTGTGCAAACACACCTGTGGCCTGTAGCTAGTTTTTGCATGTGTGAATCCTATTTATAGGTTGTTTCTTCTGAAACTGCTGAAATGTAAGCATGAACGCATGATCAATTTTTCTACTTGAGTATTTTGCAATAAAATTGCTGAGGCTCTTCTCAAGAACAAAAAGCATTTTATGATTAAGACACACTTCTTAAAAAGAGGGACACAATAAGCTTACCTGCAAGTGCTGTCTGTCAATGAAGAGAAACACTGACTGGTTAGGGTTGTTGACAACAATTCCAGTCTTGTCCTTTCGGCTCAGAACATGCAGAAACTGTTTTTCATAGTCACCGTGATGAAATTCAAACTTGGCCTGCATTGTGTGAGGGAGGGGAATAAAATATTAAGCTAAAGCTCACATTTAACCTATTCATTTCCTTAAATGTGAGGCTTTACAACTACTTTTTCCACTTCCTTTTCTCATCTGTGAAAAGCAGAAATTGGGGACCACAGCAACAATGACACACTTGAGTCATGGCACAATTTAAAGAATTCCCTAGTTTCATTCTGCCAACACAGACATTAGTCATTGCACTGACGTAATAACAATGCAAAGGTACGACTTCAACTGCATATATAAAACCAGGTTCAGTTATTGAAAAACAATCTAAAATGTTCAAAATAATGGATAAATTCCATCCATCTCAGACCCTCTTCCATCTAACAGAATACAGCAACTTGGGATACTCAGAGAACCTTTAAGACACCCTCATATGTAGACAAAGATTCAACTGCAGTAAGAGCCACATCTAATTCACTTCCACAAATACTAACATGATATATGTATTTATATATATGTTATTTGCAAAGGTCTTTCAGATGCTTAAATTTTGGAAGTGGTAATACCACAGCGCATAAAGATAGGAGGCAGAATTTGGCATTCCAAACATTGACTGCTTTATAAATAAAAACAGCCGGCATACTTTCTAACATCCACAGAAGTCACACACCTTATCAACCTATTGGTTAAGAAGAGAAAGTACTTCTCCCTCCCTCCAGTTGTAAATTATTATTGAAGTTCAAAAACAAAAACAAATACCTGAACAGGCCTGAAGGGCTCATCAGATCCCTTCCACCGAGAAAATAGGAGACAGACTATCTTCTCAATATCATTACGAGGCCAAAGAATGAAGTCCATCTCCTGGGTACAGCCAATCACATCCTGTAAGTAGTAAAGTTCTGCACTTACTTTCCCTTCATTAGTTGAAGATATAGATAAGAAACTTATCTATAGAGACACATAATTAAAAGGTGGAACTTATTATCATGCTTGTGTAATTTTCCACTTGTATTACTCACGGCACAACTAAAGTCTTCCTTGCCTTCCATCAAGCTTTAATATCAGTATCCAGTTAATATAAATTCCAACTTTAAGAAAACATTAGCAAAGACTGTCTACCTTCCAATATTCATAAGGCAAAAGCACTTAGTTGTACAGTAAGAGCTGTTGAATAATTAGCACAGGCCTAAAGGAGAAGGATGGCAAGAAGGTAATTCCCAAGGCATATTTGAATGAGAGTGGAGAATGAGCACTACATATTTAAGCACTTTCAGAATACATATGCTGTCACCCTTCAAACTAGGCCCCATAAACACGTGCCCTCGGAACCCTCGTGCCACAGAAGAGAAAAACAGAGACAGCAGGATTAGCCTTAACATTCACAAAAAGCACAAGCTGTGAAAAGAAACTAGAATTCAGCACATATAAAGAGCAACTTTACCCTGCGCATAGACTGGTAGCGGGGTGCGTGAAGCTGTACTACATCCTTCTGCAGAAGCTCTAAGGAACTTTCCAAAGAATAGCTGGAATCCCGCACGCCTTTCAGGATATTTTCTTCATAATTATTGGTCATGACTGGTATCACTTCAGACACTTCAAAAAGCGCTGACTTTTTCTTCTAAAAAAAAGCACAGGTTACATTAAGATGACAATCCTTTCTAGGCAATTACAGGTAACAGTTTATTTCAGAATTTGTGATTTTCTGTCAGCATTCATGTATAGAGTGCACATCACCATTTGGGTCAGAGTCAGGACTCTGACACAAACCACACTAAAATCTACATGCAAAATTTTATAAATTAAACAGAATCAGTCCAACAACTTTTTTATTAAAAAAGTTAAACATGTTTTTGTATTCTCCAAAGATGCAAATTTACATGCCAATCTTGCAAACATTAAAGCTGTATCTAAACATTAATAGAACGGCCTTTTCATCATGTAGAATACATGACTTTGGGCTGACCAAGAGCCCTCTGGCAAGCTTCTCTTTGCAAACCAAGTAACTTTTTTCTTTCCACTTCCCTTTGCAATACTTTAAAGTTGGCCTTTTATGAAAAGTGGAGTCTTTCAATGCCACATTTGGTAACAGTGGGTAATCAAGACCCAATCCGAAGCTAGCTACAAGTCATAGCCTTCTCAAAAGAGTAATATATTAATTTGCTAAGTAACTTTTAGACTCAACACAAACATTCCAATCTCTCTCAAGCAAGGCCAAAGCATTATGGGGAATTTGGAAGAACAGTGTTTGTTCCATGTAAAATGGCTTATAGTTGTATTTTATCAAATAACCTTCCACAACCCCAGCCAGAACATACATAATAGGCACCTATTTGCTGACCAAACTAGCCTGAGCTAAACTCCTACGTTAAGCAAACTGGTACTGGATGGACATCTTCAGATCCCTGTGCTACAAGCAAATTTTATAGGATTTAAAACAGACATTTACAATGAATTTCTACAAAGCAAGCAGAAAGTAGTATGAATGCTCCAATTAAAACCATTAAGATGTTAAAATATATTAACACCCATATCAGCTAAGAACACTTAATTATCACTGCTTAAGCCTTCATATTTCTTTGTTACTGTGAGACAGTACCAAGAAATTACGTACCACTACATCCATCTCTGTACTAGAATTGATGAACAAAAGCAAAGTGAACTTAGGAATTTCAAGGAAACCTTTGAATTAAGAGTCTCTTCATTAAAAACACATAGCTATTACACTGAATGCAAAAACTGCACATTTGAGGGGATTAAACAATTTCACTGCTTATCTACATGCATTTTCTGCATTATGTACCCTGCTGCCATTTGGTTCTACCTTCAGTTCCTCACCATTTGTTCAGCACACTCACTACAAGCACCTTCACCTTCTGTGGACGGAAACTCTCCTACCATTCTGGGTCTGGAGTTAGCTACAGAAATACCAGCAGGCTCCCCACCCTGGCCCAGATGCACAGCATCCAGCAGCAGCAGACAGGCAGCCAAGCAAATGAAGGCTTCCTCTTTTCCCTCCGTGCTCCCTTCCAAAATGGTAGCAGCAGTTTCACATACGACTGTGTGCCTGGGCCATTTCAGTATTTCATTTTGCACCTCCTCCCTTCCACTGCCAGGTTCTCGTTCCTGCTTTAACCAGATAAATGCAGTAACTTTGGCAAACGCAACAGCCAGGTTTCCCTTTTCAACTCAACTGTTCACAGCCAACAATTACACAACTCAGACCCCAACGAGGCTTAACAGAATACAGCCTCCACTTTGAAAATTATTTACCCAATACAGAAGTCACCAAGTAATCATTTAATGAGGCACCGGCACCCTCTGCATTACAAAACTACAAACATACAAAAAGCCAAAATGACAAACATGAACTAAGTAAGTATAATAGCAATTAATATATATATATTTTTTTTTTAAGTATGTTAAAAAGTCAATGGGATCTATTAAGGATAATCGGTAAGATGGGATCGGGGAGCAAGATTTCAAACAGCAGTTAACGTGCATTGCAACAGACAATACAGTTAAGAGAAACATTAAAACCAAGTTACCTTGTCTTTGAACACAAAGGCAATGTACATCTTGAAGTCAAACTGGTCAGCTAAAGATTCTTTTTTCTTTCTAAGCTGAGCACGAAGTCTGTTCAGAGCTTGTTTCTTCCGGGAGTTTGGGTCCCCCATTTTGGAATACAGGTGGTACTAAAGCCTTTGAAAACTGTCGCTAAACTATGGGCACCTTTTCGTAAGACTCAAGTACAACAGAAACAAGTCGTTTTATTCCTGCTAATACGACTGAACAGATAAAATGTGAATGTAACCCAAAACCACTCCTCAGGCACTATTTTACGAAGATGTCGTATCAGAGGGGTCAAAAACCAAAGTAAGTAGCTGTCCAGCCATGGCTGGACAAGCGGTTTTACAATAAACCAAGAAAAAAAATCTAAGAATTTTGAAGAAAAACAGTTTAGCTGCAGGAATAAGTGGGCAAAAAGGAAAAAAAAAACCAACCCAAATCTTACCACAATTTATGTGTACAATAAAAAGCAACTGGCACAAGCCCAATCCATTGGGGGGGTATTTTTGCTCTGCTTACAAAAAAAAAATTAAGCTGAAATTACAAATTGCATTTTACCCCAGCCAGATTCATGACTCTACTGATTATTATTCTCAGCTTTCCACTATTACTAAGTTGCCTGTCGTCTTTTTTTTTTTTTTTAGAATTATTACACTTGGTGGAGAGCAGAGAACAGGGTGCAAAGGAGGAGTGCACATCCTGGGAGATACGAGGTTTCTCTGCCAACAGCAAAATCAACTACAGACAACACAGTGCTGGTTTGCAGGGGAGTAAAGAGAAAAAACAGTGGAGTCATTTCTAACTTCATCCTGCTCATCATCAGGCACATCACTGCCCTGAGGCTACTGCTGCCAAAGAGAAGAGGGATCATGATGGCCATAGACGAGGAACAGGCAGGGGTTCAAGGGACAGTATTATCTCATCTAGAGATTAAAACCCAAATCAGTGCCCCAAACCCGGGCTGCTTACCAGTGGGAGAGCCCTACATCCCCTGACACCTCACACGCTCCCTGGGCTGCCGATCCCCCGGGGACCCTTCTCTCTCTCTGCTGCTGCGCTCCACAGCGAGCACAGTTAGCCGAGGCTGTGCATGGCACACGCTTTTCGCTTCTCCTTCGGCCTCTCTCTACACAGGATGGCAGAGGCTGCAGCGGGCGGCCTGTGCCCAGGGCAGCGGGACACCCACAGTAGCACGGTGCCTCCCCTCTCACTTCATGGTCACGACTTGGAAAACATGGAGAGTTTTGCTCCTGCTTTTCTCGCAAAATAGGTTTTTGGTGCTAAAAATTTTTTGCGAGGTTTTTTTAATTGCAACTCTAGGGTGCAATTTTTAATCTCTAAAATGCCCTCCCCCCAAAAAGCAAATCCCCAATTATCAAGTTATTTTCTTCCTCTCTCCAGACATTTCCACCCCCAGGTGCTTGATCAGTCGGGGTTGAAAGTTTTTAAGTTAACAAATTTGCCAGACCAGGTTAAGAGTGGGAAAAGGTATTTTCCCCCTCCTCTCTTGAGGAAAAGAAAAAAAAAGAAAGGAAAACAAAACCAAAAAAGGAACCCCTCCCAAAACTTCCCCCCCGCTTAAGCAAGAGACTGAGAGAATCAGACAAGAGACCGAGACCGTGGCCCGCTCGCTACCCGCAGACGGCGGGCGCAGGAGGAGCAGT